CCATAGCTGAAAACCCAAAAGCAGAAGACTCAAATCTAGCATAGTACAGTTAGAAACAGTCCAGTGTTACCAATCTGTTAAGAAAAAATTAAAACGGTTGCTTTTATATTTTATGTTATTTTATTTTATTTTGTTTATATTGATCCCAATACTTACATGATACAACCGTTTATAAATTACTGAAACTGTAAACTAACGTTTTAGTTCACGTTAAATTACTTTAGATGAACTATTGATTGGTGGTAGTGGCAAACACCCTTGTGCCTCCCAACAATAGCAATCATTTGCCGATTTATTACCACATTAACTGGTTGGGAATAGGTCTAAACAATGAAAAATTTTAGTTAATATATATGTAGTTTTCAAGGAATAATGAATACATTTCTTACACTGGTAGGAATAGATCGAAAGAGTGAAATATTAGTTAATATGATTTTAACATACCGATACTGAGAAGTGGTCGTTGTTTATACTTTCTTATATTAAAAAAATTAATTATTTCCATTTTTCCTACCCTTACAAAGATTCTGCTATTAATCTTATGTCTAAACTAAAGGGTATTCAAAAAAGTAAACCCCCTTTCTTTTTATTTTTTTTTTATCAGAAATTATTCTTGAAAGTCTACAATTAATTTTATAAATCCAAGTTATTCTATAATAACATCAGAATAATATAATCTTTAAATAATATTCCGAATAGACTGGATTTTAATCTCCTTTGAAACTCATTTCTGTTTTAAGATTGACAATAGATACTTTCTTATACTTATTTAAAAAAACTTGTTAAAATATTCTTAGTGCTATATTCAAACAATTTTTATTTCTGCTTTTTCTTCATAAAATTTCAAAATATTTAATTTAAAAAAAGAAAAGATTTGTTTTTGTTTATCAATTTAAAGATAACAGATTTGTTTCTTCACTCAAACAATTTCTTTATGCGATCTTAAAAGTCATAAAAATAATCAAGAGCTTCAGACAGAAATTCCCATATAAAATTTGATTTAATTTTTAAAGTCGCGGGTTTTATATTATATCATTATTTTAAAAGTATTGTATAATAAAAATAAAATCCTATATAAATACTACTTCTAGATATAATTAAGTAATTCACACCATTCTTGGACTATAAAATTTAAAATTTCACATACTCGTAGTTATACGATTTACGTAGCTTGGCTTGGCTTGACTCGATTCGGCGTCAGTTTGGTTCAATGAACTAAAATTTTAACTGCACAGTAGAAAAACTGTAAATTCGTATATGAAATTTTTACACTTCACATTGGAGTCGAAGCACCTCAGCTGTGTTAGTTGTGGTCAGATACATGCGTGTCCAAAACTATAAGCGAAGCTACCGAAAAAAATGCGTTTCTTCACACGCTGAATTATTATTCTGTTAGCGCATAAATAAAAGCAAGTATAGTCATCACCAAGCCAAAACGGCATAATAATTGCAAAAAAAAATAATGGCTTTTAAATGATATAAAGCATTCAATTACGAAAATATTTTATGTATTAGAAGTGAACTATAATTTATTTTAATCGAAAATCATAAGAAATTTAACACACCTATTAAACCAACTGATTTGAATAATAAACCGGAGAAGTCTTTTTATTGTACATCAGCTGTATGTTATTTTGTAGTGACATATCTGGCAACTATTCAAAGTAGACTATCTTATAACAAATTAGCTCTTTGCATAAATAAAATCGAATAATGATATACGAGTTTTGTGTTCAACAGTTTTATCGACGTCCTTATCACAAAAAGTCTCCATATTAAACTTAAAAAAGTTATTTTATTATTTACCAAGTAGTCTTGGTATATCTGCTAATCGATCTTTGGTATTGGACTTATTTTATGCTTGAAAAGCAATATAGTGACTGGCTAACTCATCCCTTATCAACAGTTTCTTCTGCGACAATTTCTTCTTATTCAACTTAGAATAGTTGTACTTCTGTTGCTAAGTGACATGTATTTCTATATCTGTCATTTCTACGCATTGAGGCCATATGCCATGTGAAATCACCTCATCGGCTTATATAAACTATCTATACTGATCGCTTTGTTAAACAAAGAAAAATATCTGCTTAATATTGGTCAGAGTTGTCTTCGTATGACTGCCAATTGTTCTTTACTTTTGTAGTTATTTTATGTTCGATGAAATGCTTGAAAGAAGATATAGGAACTCTTGCTATCTATTCCAAGAAGTGTAATGCCATTTCTGCTCAGCGTATTAGCTTTACGATACCCATAAATATCAATGTGATCTATAACATACATTGTGACCGAAAAGCTTCCGGAAATTTTAAATAAAACGCAAAATTCTTAATCTTCATCAATATTTATTTTATCTCCT